ACATGAGGCATAGCGAATGGCTTAACCATCAGATTTTCTGGCCCCACGTCCTGTGATGGGGAAACTGAGGCACAGAGGAGCAGGGGTTTGCCCACGACTGGCCTCTGGTGTCCTGTACCTTACCTGCCCTTTTCCATCTTGGGTTTGCAGAGTCCCCTTCGTGAAATGTCTGGGCGGGCAGTGTGGGAGACTCTGACCTCCCAGCCTCCCCGGCGCCAGCTCTCCGCGGTGTTCTCATCGAAGGCGTTAACCTCCTCTGTGCTCTCAAGGTTGCCGCTTGCCTATTTATAGAACGGGCCAAGAGGATCCTACTACGGCCTGGCCTGCGATAAAGAATACAAATGATGCTCTCCGCCTTGCTTTCGCTTCTTCCCCACTTTCTGTTTTAACTCCCTGAACGATGCCTGTCTACAGCGTGCTCTCCCTTCTGCAGACCCTGTGGGGACAGAGGGCGTGGGCTCTGCCGTTGGCGGAGCACCTACTGTGCGCAGAGGCTCTGGACTTGGTGCGTTCAGTCTCCTTTAACCCACGCCATCCTGGGTGGTGGGCATTGTCCTTTTCTTCATCCCTCACTTGTGGCCTTGGGAAGGAAAGCTGCCGGCCCTAGGACTCTGGGCTGGGAAGTGGTAGACTTCAGTACTGACTGGAATTCCATCCTGCCCGACTCTACCTCCCTGGATGTTCTTTCCAGCGGTACTCCTCGGTTCCGAACTCTAGCCCAACCATCCAGACCCGCCGAGGCTGCAGGATCACACCAGTGGATCGTGTGGTTTCTTTGGGTCAGTACCTGTCTTTCTACACCATCAGGCCAGTCTTTTCTCAGTACCTGCTGTGTCCCACATGACACCCGGTCTCCCACCAGGCACAAGGCTTGAGGACCTACTGTGTGCTGGGGCCTGGTTTTCTCTTACCAAGCTCAAGTGTTTTAAGGATGTCCCTCTTTATTCCCCGGGACACAGTAGGTTCCTATTCAGCCTGGGTTGCATGAGTGCCGGGGCTTAGTGTCAGGGTGTCCAGGAGGGAGCAGAGAAAGAGGAAGGTCCGTTAAAACAGCATCGGACCATGACCTGTGCCTCGTGGAGGAGGGAGGACATGAGGGGTCGGGGTCGTGGAGGGTGCTATAGCCTCTGCTGATGCTGTTTGTGCCTGGCACCTTCCCCTCTGCTGCGGCACAAGCCCGCTTGGTCTCGGCTTCCTCCATCCTCCATCTTCAACTTAACAGAGATTCAGTTTTTCCTGACCATTCTGTCGAGGGGCTCCCAAGGGACGCTGAAAGAACACCGTAAATCTCACCTTGCTCATCTTCTCGAAAATCTTTTTTAAAAGCAGAATGGTTGGACGGCCGCCATGCCACCATTACCCCTCCACAGGGGCTGACATTTAGCTGTGGAATTGAGGGCCCAGGCGCCTCTCACTCTTCTTCCTCTTCTGGGAGAGGTTCAAATGCCAGACAGTGGCCTCTTGGTGCAGGCCCTGTGGAGGGGGGTAGGAAGCCCAGTGCCTGGCAGTTCCAATAAGCTCAGGGAGCCGGGAGCTGTGTCACCCTTCTCCTTTTAAGACACATGGCTTTTTAAAAATTTTAATTTATTTTATACATTCAATCACTGTACATCACACCATTTTTTTTTCTCATATGGAAAGCATCGTACCCTCGTTGTGGAACGTTTGGAAAATCCTGAGAGACACAATAATAATCGCACATAATCCCACGGCCGGGGAGAAGCTCTGTTGGCATCTCGGCTTGTTACTTCCCGGCTCTGTTTTTTTCCTGTAAAAATCTTCTCTTGATATGACTGAGATCATCCTGATGCACCGGCAGTGATCTGTGGCATTTTGACCCCACTTCACATTGAAACGTATCACATTTCCACAGCCTTCCAAACCCTCTGTAAACAGGACTTTAGCAGCGGCGTGAGACTTGGTCCATGCAGATGCCGGCGTGTGCACACGCTGCCCCCAGGTGCAGAAGGCGGTAGGCACGTAGCGCG